GGGCAGCACAGCGGAGACCGCTGGGGACGGTGCTGGTTCAGCTTCTGGGCTGCGAGGAGAAGGGGCTGTTACAGAGCTCCGGGTGTAGCATGGAGCTGTTAATTTTACTTAATCTCAGATGGCAACAAAATCATTACCGCTTCCCTGAAATGTCTCAAGAATGATTCTCCTTTTCGCTGCGGCTGCCTCTAAAACACCAGGAACTATAGATACCGAGGTCTGTACTTCTGAGGGCCAGGTTACCAGAGTTGAGATTTGATTTTTCTGGTGCCTTTGTGTTGTTGTTATTTTATTTATTTTAGAAATTGTTTGAGGACACCTGCATCTTCTAGGACCAATATTCAGGAGTGCCAAGCATGCAGAGGTCCTGTAAATCGTCCAAGCCTCTGCATGCTTGTCCCTTCTGCAAACCAAGGCTCTAGTGTCTCAAACTGGACAAAGGTTTTGACAGTTTTGGGTGACGTATCAAAAGAAGCTGCCTAAACATCAGTTATGAAAAATGCAACCTGTGAAGAGAACTTGCTTTCTGTTTCCACTTCCACAAGAGTGTTTCATGGATGTTCTCCTCCTGTGACTTACATGGTGTTTTTGAAGACTAAATCTATTATGTAAAAGATTCAAAAACTGAGGTGGACAACTCTCTACAGCACGATTTGCTGAAAGCGTACCTCGCAGTAAAGCAAAGCTGCCTTGTTGAGGGCAGGGGATGCAAAACTGTAGCTGTCGTTCTGGGTCTCCTCCTCTTTCAAGTAATAGAACATTTCCTCTGACTGAGCAGGGTGTTTTCGTATTTCGGTACCTGCCAAAAAGGGTGGGTTTGGCTGCAAAGGGAAAACAGGAAATGGCTTGAAAATTAATAAAGCTTGCAGAAAGCAGTTTTCAGGCTTCTGACCAAATATTGCAGGGCCCACAGCTGCCCCTGGGGTACAGAAACAGGAAACGTGACAACAGAGACGGTATCGTTTTAGTGAGACGAGATTTGCAAAGGATACCAAATCAAATGCTTAATTTACACTTTTTGGAGTTTAATTTTAGTCAAAGAGTAGGTAAGGAAATATAGGTTTACTTTCTGTGTACTGGAGATGTTGTAAGCTAAGATTTCACTTGTGCTGGAGAAGGTTCTAGGTCCTAAGAGCTGCCTTCCAGTACCTGAATGGAACCTGCAGGAAGGCTGGGGAGGGACTTTTTACAAGAGTGTCCACTGATAGGACAAGGGGAAATGGGTTTAAGTTGAAGGAGAATAGATTTAGATTGGACCTTAGGAAGAAATTCTTCAGTACGAGGGCGGCAAGACTTTGGAATAAATTGCCCAGAGATGTGGCTGCCCCCTCCCTGGAGGTGTTCAAGGCCAGGTTGGACGGAGCCTTGAGTAGCCTGATCTAGTTGAGAGGCGTCCCTGCCCATGACAG